AGAGCGTGTGGAGAATGGGCACATTTATGAGACGTGAGTGCGAGAGGGCGGGCGGGATGCCTCGCCGCATCAAGACCTGAGGCCGCATGTGACCGCGAGAGGGATGTGGCTTGACTCGGGGCAGGGGCCGAAGTGACGATCTATTCTGGGCCCACACAGGATCGTGAACGTGAAGGAGACGCGGCTGACCTCGCTGGGCGCCAGCATCCTGGTGGGCCTCTCCCTCCTGCTGCTGCCCGTCCCGCTGCAGTGGATCCCCAAGCCCGTGCTCTACGGCCTCTTCCTCTACATCGCACTCACCTCGCTCGATGGCCACCAGCTCTTTGAGCGTGTGGCCCTGCTGCTCAAGGAGCAGGTGAGGGCCCTGCCCTCAGAGGGACGGGCCTGGGAGGGGGCCACAGCCCAGCCCTGCTCACACCTGGCCCCTGCACCCGCAGACTTCATACCCGCCCACACACTACATCCGGAGGGTACCCCAGAGGAAGATCCACTACTTCACAGGCTTGCAGGTCCTGCAGCTGCTGCTGCTCTGCGCCTTCGGCATGAGCTCCCTGCCCTACATGAAGATGATCTTCCCCCTCATCATGATTGCCATGATCCCCATCCGGTACACGCGGGGGCCAGCCTAGGTGGGGGAGTGGGCAGGCTGCGGGCGGGAGGGGCCCAGCCCGGCCCTGTGGGTGGTGGAAAAGGGATGCCCGCGGCTTTCTCCTCTCGGACCCAAGGCTCATTCGTCTTCCTGCCTCTCCCTCCTCTGCCAGTTACATCCTGCTGCCCCGAATCATTGAAGCCAAGTACTTAGATGCCATGGACGCTGTGCACTGACCTTGACTGGCAGGCCTTGGCCATGCCCCGTTCACCGCCCTCCCCGTCCTCCCAGGCTGGCTCTGTGGTGTGGGAGGAAGGTGTGGGGGTCTGGGTGGTTGTTCAGGGCCGTGCCCTCACAGCTATCCCAACAGACCCAGGGCGTCTGGGCCTTGTGGGGGTTTAGTGGTACGTGCACCTCCTCTTCCCATTAGCCTTTAGCTTTGGGTCAGGAAGACTGCTCAGGGCAGCTTCCACCCAGGTTGGGACTAAGCAGGATGGATTTTTCTTTTGATAAAAGAGTTGATGCCTGAAAGAGAAACCATTTCCTTGATTGTGTAAGGAACTTGCTGTACGCACATTAGAGAATAAAGCTGTTTCTATGCCTCTATGTGCCACCTTTGTCCCTGCTGCCCCACCCCGGCCTGGGCAAGTGGGATGAGAGGGACCCATGTCTGTTGAGTGCCACCTGTGCACTACCACTTCCGACCTCACATGGTGGGACACTGGCCCAACAGTGAACCACAATGATGCAGGAACCCCTCCCATTGCCTCGCTGCCAGGGACCTGCAGGGACGCATTCTGGGGACAGCCTGTACAGGGGCCCAGAGGAGAGGGCCTGGGGCCAGTGAGGTGCTGCAGCTGGTGGTGAACAGTGTGGCCGCGGGGTGTGCATAGAAGGGACCATCAGGGCTGAAAGTGAAGGGCCCTCTCATGAAAGCCACAGGAGCCAGAGGGAGATGGGGAATGAGCATGGGTAGGTCAGGTCAGGGAGGTGAGTCCTAGATGTTATAGGGTAGGAACAGCAGCGGGCCTGGACCAGTCCCTGTACCGGGGTAAGACGGTGGGTGTGGAGGGACAGCAGACTGCAGGATGTGGGCACTGGTCTGATGGGGGGGAGGTGCCATGTTTCTTGTTGGGTCGTGGTGGGTGGCCAGGGTCTATGGCAATAGCAGCCCACGGCAGGGAATACGGGTCTGGCATCTGGGAGTGGCCCTTGTGCTGCAGCAGTGGTGGGCAGGACATCTGACTCAGATGCCCTATCACACCACCTCGCAGGGCTGTGGGTCAACAAGTGTCCCAGGCGCTCAGCCAGCAGATGGAGGAAAGGGGCTCGCTGCATGTCAAGTGGCAAAGGGACTCCCCTAAGCTATATCGAGAATCCCTGCAAACAAGAACAAGATGGCAGGCCCCAAAGAGGAGGCCAAGGCTGTGGGCGTGGGGCAGGGAGTCCCAAATGGTAATGGGAATGGCAAAAGATGTTCAAACCCCTGGAAAATCAGAAACAGGCCAACGGTGAGATGCCACCTTACACTTGGCAGGCTGGCACCAATCAGAGGGCTGAGATTGGGAGCCCTGAACTCTGATGAGTGTAATTCTGCTCCTGGGCAGTAGGGGGATGAGGTGTGAGCATGCTCAGAGGGCAGTTAGTGAGGACAGGTAACCAAGTCACAAAACGGGACAGGAGTGCCATGTGCCCAGGGCAGAACTCAGGAAGGAGCTGAGGACAAACGCATGCCCTGCCCTCCCATGTATCCACCCACCCATGTGGAATGTCTTCTTTGGGGACCATTCCCAGCCCAAGCATCCTCTGTAGGTTGGAGCCACGTCCAGAATCACTAGGCAATAGGTTGGCAGTCCCCAGCACCTGCCACCTGAGGCCCAGCCAGCCCTCTCCCATCCACCCAGGGTGCTGGTGGGCCAAAGGGTGCAGAAATTATGTTCTAGCCTCACCTCCCTGCACTGCCGCAGGTTGGGGGAAGAAACAATTCTCAGAACTGTTAAGCCCAGGCCCTGGGCCACCTTGTCAGGACCAAGGAACAGGACTGGAGGGGATACTCTGAAAACTACCTGTGAGCACTGAAGTCGGCCTGAGAGTGACCCAGCAGCACCAAGGACCCCTCCCCTGCCCTATGCAAGTCCTTGGGCTGGGCACTCTCTCTCCAGAGAATGGCCTGCAAGAAATGCCAGCAAGCTGGGCCCCCGAACTCCCGCCCATGGAACAACTTCAGCAAGGTACAGTGAGGGTCTGGGACAGCAGGGCCAGGCCTGCACTCCCCAGGCTCAACTGCACCATGTCAGCCCAACTAGGGTCAAGGACTCCACCTGCCTCCCCACCATCAAAATGAACCTGGCATTATAAAGTAAAAGCACTAGACAGTCCACCCTGCTCACCCTGGTGGCTCACCAAAGACCATGGAGACCAGAAGGTGGTGTTATCACCAGATGAGTGTCGGTACACAGCACAGGTTTGGCATGGAAAGAGTCAGCCCCATAACTTCAAGGAGAGGCAAGGACACGAGTGGAGAAGATGCAGGGCATGTGAATGCCCTGACACAGCAAAGCCCTGGTCCCTCCTCTCGACTCCCACCCCAAGGATTTCTTGCACCTGCCAAAGAGACTCAAGAGACAGACACCTGCCTGGGGCAGGGCTCAAAGCAGATACATCCAGTTTATTTTGGAAACAAAAGTGACTTACTGCATATTAAAAACATCTAAGACCGTCCGCATGGTACTTCCCAAACCTCAATCCTGCCAAGGCCAGTTTTAACACCCAAGGTCCTTTCAGGATCCCAGGACAGGCCTGTAGCAAAGATTGCTGAAGCCCCCCAGGCAAGAGAAATGTGTCAGCTCGTTTAAAAGACCTCTAAGCAGAGCCAGCTGCAGCCCCAGACAGCTGCCTCTACACCCCAAGGAAGGAGTAACCCTTTGAGGGGACCTGCCTGATGGGACAGGTTTCAGATTAACCCTCCCCAGATCCCTGGCCTGAGTGGCCTCCTCTGGTCCCAGGAGGAGTCAAGCTACCAAAGTACTCTTGAAGCTCTTGCAGGGCCCGGCAGCGATGGGAGATGGCGTTCTTCTCCACCTTGGGCATCTCCGCGTACCTAAGGGTGACAGGAGCACTGAGGAGAAGCCCAGCCAGATTCATGGAGGACAAGCACCCCAGCCCTGCCACTGGAGCCCAAAGCTCAAGGAGCCCGTAGGAAAAGACAGCACAAGCCACAGGCTCCTGACAACCAGATAATTTCTAAAAACTGGGTAGAGTTTTCAATCCTCCATTAGGTAGAGATTTGTATTAATGAGCTTGGGGAAGGGGGGAATTAAACTTGCTCTAGTGTGTCCAAGTCATTGCAGGGAGCTGGGGACAGGGCACGAGCTGCATGTTTGTTCAGTATTGTCATCTGTTGACAGGAAGCAGTGGGGCCTGACAGAGCAAACACAGTAGCCTCCTCTAATGCACTGTAGGGGGGTGGGAGGGGAGGCTAAACAGCTGGCCGGTGGCCCATCCTCCATGCCAGGACTCCAATGAGGTGAGAATCTCGCACCCTGCCCAGGGGTTTCAGATCTTACTGTCCAGCACAGTAGCCACTAGCCACCTGCGGTTATGTACACGCATTACAATGGCACAGAAAGAAATGAGGGCCCAACCCAGGTGCAAGCATGCCTGTTGATGCTGCTGCTCGGGAGACTGAGACTGTATGGCAGGCACAGGTTCAATTCCCAGCTGACCCTAGAAAGTCCACCATGGGGGGGCACACCTGTAAAAACTGTAGTCCCAGCTACCAGATCATGATATAGCAAGACAAAGAAACCACACACCACATATATGCACACCCTAAAAACAATTCCATTCCTTGGTCTAACCATATTTCAAGTTCTCTGTGGCCACAGGTGGCTAGTTGCTACCCAACTGGAAAACGCAGATATGTGACATTCCTGCCACCAAACATATTCTTAGACAGTGCTGCTGAACAATAATGGCCCCAGCCCTGTCTGGGACTATAAGGCCTCAGGGCCCCTCCATGGTGGAAAAGCTGATTCCAGTAACAGCCTGTGTGTCCTGTGTTAAGCGGGGTACTAAGAACTTGGTACTGTGGAGGTCAACAGGGTGCCCACCAGAGGCTGCAAAAGTGTTAGCATTTTCCCAGCAGATGGGGAAACCAGAAAACTATCCCGCAGACCTGTCAGCTTTCCACATGACGAGGACAGAAGGGAAACCACTGGAGCCAGAGAGCCCAGGACTCCCCGCTCCACCCTGCTGTGGACTGGACCACCCAGATTCCTCGTGTCCACCCCCACAGAGCTGCCTTCAGCTGGAACGGCACCTTCAGGTCCTGCCCCAGCCCATATCCGCGTGCTTGCACTTGGGCGGGGCACCAGCCCAACCCAGACCACAGTGATCCTGACCTCACGCCCCAGGAAGGAAACTGGGCTCCTTACGTCTGTTCGTATCCATCAGGCTGAAAGCAGGGGTCCCAGCCAAAGTCCCGGCAGCCTCGGGGTGCCACAATCTGGCCCTGTCACAGGAAAGGGGGGAACGGGTGTCACGGGGCATGGAGGAGATGCACTGGGAGGGCAGTACCTGTTGGAATTGGGTTAGCTTGTGAATTTGATTGAACCTATTTCCTCAAACTGTAGTTTCCCGGGGTCCATAGTACCTGCGAATATTTGCTGAATATGTAAACAAAACTCGGAGCAGGGCAGCTTTCCCCTCACACAGAGAGGAACCATAAAGTAACTGACTCCCCAGCACCTGAGCCCACCCTCCCTCTCTACACCTTTGATAAGCTGAAGTCCCTAAAGGAAAATGAGTCAACTTTGAAAAATGGACACAAAGTATTTTCTCCCAAAGTCTTTGAACTTCGCAGACAAGTCCCATGCCTGCTTCTATTCCAGCTTTCCTCAAAACGGAGAGGAAACGCCATCAAATGAAAGTCATCCCTTGCTATCCACGGGAGTTGGTCTGTAACAGTAAGTGCTGTACGCACTGTTGTTACAGCATATTGTTTAGGGACAGTGACAAGAAAAAGTCTGTACATGTTCAGGATGGACACAACTAATTTTTTGAAGGGGTTTTGGCTATAGGGCACATGTGTTCGCCAGGACAGAGAGACAGATAGAAAGCAAGAAATCACCCCCCCAAGAGAGGATGGCCATGCTGCAATCCCTTCTCCTCCATTCTCCTCTCAGGATCTTGGGCACGCATGCACAAGTGCCCGGTGTGAGTTTAAGACACTGGGTCTGGGACTAAAACCGTGGTCGACTACATGGGAGTCTAGTGATATAGCCATTATGCCAACTGCTGGTCCCACAATGAATTTTTAAAAATAATTATTTAATTTTATTTATTATTATTTTTTTAAATTGCTATAGGGCACGTGTGCTCACCAGAGAGACAAAGAGAGAAAGGGAAATTGAGAAAGCAGTCTGCCAGGTCCAGGATGCAAACCTCAATCAGCCATGCAGGAGTCTAGCACCCCAATCAGCAGGTTACCTGCTGGCCCCCATAACCAATTTTAAAAAGCATTTAACTATTATTTTGTCTTTATTCATGATAGAACACATGTGGATACATCTCAGAGAGACAGAGAAAGAAGCACCCTCCCAACCTGCTGGACCTTGGACCTGTCAAATCCTAGACACATATGTGCATGCCTGGAGTGTTATCAGGCTGATCGGGCTGGGGATTTGAACCATGGTTGCCATGTGGGATCCAGCTTCTTATGAGCAGCACATTACCAATGTGCCATGGAGCCAATATCATTTTTTTTAAACATTTTCAATCCACAAATGGTTAAATCCTTGGATCTGGAACCTGCAGATATGGAGGGTCGCCTGTACCATAAGAGAAAGCATTTGGCACAGTGCACAACACATAATGAGCTCAATACTCACGGTAACAGGAAAAGTCCACCATGGAAATGTTATAGAGAAAGACTGGGGGCGGGGGGCAGCAGGTGGCATGGTGATTAAGGAGCTGGACTCCCACCTGGCTGAACACAGTTCCAGTCCTGGACCCAGTGGCTTAAAACTCATGCCAGGCACTTGTTATGCATGCCCCAAATCCCAAGAGAATGAAGGAGAAGGAATTAAGGAGCAGCCACCCCCCTGGGGGATGATCTCTCACTTTCTCTTCATCTCTGTCTCTCCCACAAGTGCATGCACTCTATAGCAAACATCTCCCCCTTCCCCCTGAAGGGGGAAAAAAAAAAACTAAAAAGAACTGTAGTTCAATGTCATGAAATGCTGCCATCAAAGGTAAAAAAACAAACAAACAAACAAACAAAAACACTAACTTTAAAAACGTGAGAGGGGAAGGCCAACAGGTAGTGTGGAGTTTAAAGCAGTCAGATCCCACATGGCAGACTGTATGGTTAGTCCTAGGCCAGGTGACTTGAAAATCAGACCAGACACCTGTGTGTGCGTGCCAAACTCCCGAGAATGGAGAAAGGATTGGGGCATGGCCATCCACCTGGGGAGGTGATTTTTCACTTTCCCTATCTCTCTGTGTACACACACATTCTATAGCAAAACTAAAAGGAGGGGGCAGGACAAGCTGGTGGCATATGGCATGGTAGTTAAAGCGGCTGGATTCCCCACACAGCCAATTGTGCAGTTCAAGTTTCAGACCCAGCAGCTTTAAAAACTGGGTTGGGATCAGCGGATGGTGTAGTGATTATGTTGCTGGACTCCCATGTGGTCACCAGGGTTCAAGTTTTGGATCTAGAGGCTAGAAACACACCGGGCATGTGTGTGTGTGCGTGCCCAAAATCCTGAGAGGAGAAGAGAGAAGGGATTGCAGTGTGGCCATCTACCCTGGGGGTGATTCCTCACTTTCTGTCTCTGGTGAGCACATGTGCCCTACAGAAAAAAAAAAAAAAAAGAAATCACTCAAAAAAAAAGGGAGAAACATGCCAGGCACGTGTATATGCATGCCCAAAATCCCAAGAAAGGGATTGTAGCATAGCCATCCCCCATGGCAGGGGTTGTTTTCTCACTTTGTCTCTGTCTCTAGTGAGTGCATGTGCCCTATGGCAAATTGGAAATTAATAATTTACACAAAAATACAAGAGAGGTGGTAAAGAACAGGGACTAGTCACATAAATGGCAAGTCAAAGGCATGGTCTGCTTCTGCCAGTGGACAGCTGTGTGACCAGGGCCCGTTAGAGAACCATTCTGAACCTCTGAACCCACACGACAGACATTTTCTCAGTGCCTATGTGGAGCCGGGCAGCATTCTCAGCACCAAAGTCGCCGCAGGCTGAGCCAAGCCCTGATACAATGGATCTCTTAGGCAAAACAGGCATTCCACCAGTAAACAAATGAATGAGCACCAAAGGCAAAGTGCCTTAAAGGGAACGAACAGGGTGTTGGGTTCACAAATAGGATGGAGTGACTTGGATGGGAAGCTCAGGGAAGGGAGGCCTAGTGAGAAGGGGACACACTCTGTCCACATGAGGGGCTGGAGCATGAAATTTCTAGGTACAGGACACAGCTGGTGCAAAGGCCCTGAAATGGGAAAGGGCTCGGCAGATCTGAGTTGCTGAAAGAACGACATGGCTGAGGTTATACTACACAGGTGAAACAGTCAGTAACAAGGTGCACAAGGCAGCCAAAGCTGAGGACGCAACAGAGAATGGTGGGGACTGCAGCGATACAGGCCCATTGACAGTGGCTGCTACTCAGTCACTACAGAAAGTTGGGTCTGTGGTTGTTTAAGACTGACTTTTTCAGGGCTGACGGGTGGTGGTGTTATTAGGGATGCTGACTCCCACATGGCCGAATATGGTTTCAGTCTTGGACCTGGCAACTTGCTTTCTCACTATCCTTCTCTCTCTCTCTCTGTTTCTCTCTGGTTAAATAAAAAATAATAATAATAAAAAAGGTTAAATAAAATAATTCTTTCAAAAAAAGATTTTTTGAGAGATGTAAATATTTCTGAGAAAGCAACAAACTACAAAACTTTTTTTTTTTTTAGAGATTTTTTTTTTTTTTTTCATCTGGAATGTGCACTCACCAGAGAGACAGAAAGTAAGAAATCACCACCCCCCGCCCTAGGCAGGGGGGCAGGGGGGGAATGACCATGCCACAATCCCACAACCCCTTCTCCATTCTCCTCTCAGAATTCTGGGCACACATGCACACACACCCAACATCTGTTTTAAGCCTCCAAGTCCTGGACTAGAACCACAGACGACCATGTGGGAGTCCAGTGATGTAACCATTATGCCATCTGCTGGTCCAATACAACTAACTTTTTTTTCTTAAGAATTATTTTATTGGGACCAGCAGTTAGCGTAATGCCTATGTCGCTGGACTCCCACGTAGTTGACCGCGGTTCGAGTCCCAGACCTGGTGGCTTAAACTCACACCGGGCGCGTGTGCATGTGTGTCCGAGATCCCGAGAGAATGGAGAAGGGATGTGGCATGGTCGTCCCCTCTGGGGAGTGATTTCTCACTTTCTGTCTCTTTGTCTTTCTCTGTCTGGTGAGCGCACGCGTCCTATAGCAAAAACCTCTCCAAAAAAAAAAAATTATTTTATTTATCTTTTTCCCCCATTTATTTATTTATTTGAATTTGACCAGAGAAAGTGAGAAAGCAGGCTGCCAGTTCCAGACTCAAACCATAGTTGGACATGGGGAGTCCTGTACCCTGAAACCTGCCAGCCTACAACTAACTTTAAATTATTTTATTTATCTACTTACTCATTTATTTCATATTAATTTGACCAGAGAAGGACAGAGAGAGAAAGTGAGAAAGCAAGCCACCAGGTCCAGGACTTGAACCGTGGTATGCCATGTGGGAGTCCAGAATCCTTAACCACCATGCCACCTGCCGCCCAACACCCCCCCCCAACTTTTAAAAATGTAAACAGGTGGGCCGGCAGGTGGCACAGAAGTTAAAAGGGGTGGATCCCACACGGCTGACTGCCCAGTTTGAGTTCTGGACCTAGCAGCTTGAAAAACGTGCTTCTCTGCATGTGTGCCCAAAATCTCAAGAGGAGGAGAATGGAGGGGCAGGGACTGTGCAGTGGCCACCCTGCACTGGAGGACATGCTGTATAGCAAAAAACTATGTGTGTGTGGGAGGGACAACAAAAGAAAAAAAAAGTTAAGGTAAACTTTGTTATGCATTTGTTTGCTGATGATAGCGTGTGTGTGCACAAGTGCTCGCACAGGCAAGATGAAAGCACCCTCAACAGTCTTACCACACTTTAATCCCTTCGCTAGCCTTCCAGCCAGGCAAGATATTGGGCACAGGCCCGGCATGCTTTCTCAAGCTAACACAGCGTTATGACGTCACAGGTGAGCATATGGTTTCCAGTCTGGCAGTGCACCTGGGTTACTGAGTGCCACAGCAGCTGGTCCTACCATGTATTTTTCACCACTACCCAAAAATAATGTAACCACACAGGGTACAAAAGTATCTGTTGACAACTCTTAAGTGGACCCTCTGTTTTCTTTCTGGAGCAGGAGGAACCAAGCAGAGATGTGCCAGAATGCAGGCTCCTGCCATGGGGAGGAGACAGACGGGGAGTGAGTGGGACAGGCCAGCAGAGCGTGGTCTGGACCCCGAGAGCAGCACCTGATCCTAAAGGCTGATAGGTAGGCATGGGGGTGTTGGATGACAGCTGGGGAAGAAACAAATCTGGGCTAGAATTCAGATTCTAGGGGGACCAGACAGTGGCACAGAGGTAACACGTGACATTCTAGGGGACTGACCCACATAGGGAAGTTCCGGGTTTTCATCTGAAGACCCCCTCCCCCCAGTATACCAGACATGTACATGCCTGATGTGGAGCTGGCTAAAGCGGCGGGTAGATAGTGGGGCAAGACCTTGGTAGGGGTGCTCTGTCTGTGTCATGTAAGATATTTTAAAAATGAATAAAAATAGTTAAGATGATAAATTAAAAGAAAAAAATATTCTGGGCCAGCGCTTGGTGTGGTTAAGATGGCTGGATCCCACATGGTCAATTGCACAGTGTGAGTCCCAAACCCTGCGGCTTGAAAAACATGCCGATGCGTATATGTGTGTACCCAAAATCCCGAGAAGAGAATGGAAGAGAAGGGACTACAGCTGTCTCCTTGGGGTTGTCTGTTCAATTTCTCTTGCTTGCTCTCTAGTAGATTTTTTTTAAAAAGAGAAAAAAAAATTGATATTAAAAGTAGAAGGCTGAAAGGGACCAGCAGTTAGCGTAATGGCTATGTCGCTGGACTCCCACGTAGTCGACCGCGGTTCGCGTCCTGGACCCGGTGGCTTAAAACTCACGCAGGGCGCGTGTGGGTGCGTGTCCAAGATCCCGAGAGGAGAATGGAGGAGAAGGGATTGCGGCGTGGCCATCCCCCCTGGGGGGTGATTTCTCGCTTTCTATCTCTCTGTCTCTCTCTCTCTCTCTGGCGAGCGCACGCGCCCTATCACAAAAAATAAATAAATAAATAAATAACACCTCTCCAAAAAAAAAAAAAAAAAGTAGAAGGCTGTGAGACATTCAGGAAGGTCACTGCCTTGGCAGCTGAGTAAGATTTGGGTTTGGAGACTGGCAGGTGGTGTAGTGGTTAAGGCACTGGACCCCCACATGTACACTTGCAGTTTGAGTCCCGGACCTGGTGGCTTCCTTTCTTACTCTCTCTCTTTGATGACCACACATGTGCCCTATTGCAATTTAAAAAATAATAATAATGATAAGTAAAATTAAATAAGAAATTATTAAACAAACAAACAAACAAAAGATTGGGCTTGGAGAAGCCTGGACTGTAGATGTGGCTTTAGGAGTCATTACCTCTAGTCTGTAGGAGGGACTATGCTGCAGAGTTCTGGGCATCAGAGCTCGGCAGCAATTATGTTGCCTGGAGCCAGTAGCCTCAGGAGTCAACCAGGTGTAGGATTGACAGCACTTGTAATTATGGTGCCAGGGGTGCCTCTAGGCAAGGCCCAGTTCACACTAGCCCGAGGCTCCCCTTTCCAAGTCTCCTTGCAGATGACCTCTGACAGTCTGCCCAGATTGTGGCACCCTCTCGTTACACAGAGGGGAATGGCATCCAGGTGAGTACCCACCGAGGTCCGGCCCTTGAACAGACGCACAGGCTCGCTGGAGTCCCCAGTGCTGAGCGCGAACGTGCAGAGTGCATAGGCTGACTTGTCCTCGAACCCAGCCAGGAGCTGGTGGAGACCTGCAGGTGGTGCGGCGAGGGCTTAGTGCACCCGTGCTGTCCAACCCCACCCCCACAAGCCCACCTAGAGGGGTAAGGAAGGACTTTCCTAAAATGGATTGGGTTGAGGGGTAGTGAGGACTTCATTCTGCC